CACCTCATAGAGGGCCTTCCCCTCCTGCGCCGTCCCTCCACCCAATAGGTATTCAAAAATAAGTCATAAGAATAATCACAGAAATTGTCAGAAATTTTCCATGTTACACAAGATACAAGTCTTGGTAGGAATATTACTTCATTGTTAAAATGAAAAAAAAAAAACAAACCAGATTTAAAGTCCGAAGGTGTGCTAGAGAGGGAAAGATCTTAAGGGAAATTGTAGAATATTTTATTACATCCCATTTTAGGCTAGGCATTATCACAGAATCTCTTTTACAATTTAAAAAAGGGGGCTTAATGTACTGGATATTGAAAACTACAGAAATGATACAAAATAAATTGAATTACGATAAAACAGAAAATATTTTAAATCTATTTCTATCAAAAATGCATTATTTAAATCCATTTCCAATATTAAAATGAATAGTTCCTATAATTTGTATTTTTAGCTCAATTTTACATAAAAACTATCAATTTTCTTTCTGTGAAAATCATTTTCACAATATGCTATTTTTCAACATGCCATTTTCACTCTTGACAAAAAGTACACCTATAGCCAAAATGCTCACATTTCCATACACCTATGGTTATTAATTTTACATTCTATAAGAATCATTTATAAGGGAAAATAAATGGGAATTTTAGGGCTACCATTGAAACTCCTGGAAATTCCAATTTCACCTTTCACTAAAGCCTTCTTCTATCTCAGCAGCATCAGCGGATGGTATGTCTCCTGGTGACTGTAAATAGCAGGGGTCATTCGACTTCCCACCACCCAGAACTGCTGCTCCATGCCTCGAGTCAGAGGTGCCACCTGACTGGGGTTCTTCCTCATCCTCATGTCCAGGGTGTTCTATCATCCACATGGCAAGGACGGTGATGTTCTGAGCATCAGCCTCTCCTCGAGCACCTGAACAGAGGGACAAGAAAAGTCTCATCCTGACCTCAGGCAAAGTAATTCATTCAATCAGTTCAAGGGTGTTTGCTTTTATGCTCTTCACAATTAAGTCTGGCATTCAAAACAAGATTACTAAACTTGATGACCTCCTGAAAAACACATTACCACTAAAAATGAGGGGATTTCTCATATATGCATAGGAAACTAAACCAAACCTGCTGCTTTGAGTCCGTTTAGATTCATTTGTTTGTTGTTATGTGTCATCAAGCTATTGGGTTAGAACTGACTCATGGCTGATCCTCCAGTGGGTTTTCAGAGGCAATAAATCACTCGGGAAGAGATGGTCCATAATTTCTCCTTCCGGGTAGCTGGTGGATTCAAACCATGTATCTTTGGTTTGGCAGTACAACGTCTTACAACTCCCTCCAACTCATAGTAACCCTCTATGGCAGTGTAGAACTGCCCCACAGGGTCTTCAAAACGGTAAATCTTCATGGAGGCAGACAGTCATGTCTTTCTCTTCGTGGTTTTGAACTGTGAACCTTTTGGCTAGCATCTATGTGTTTTAACCACTGACACCAGAGATTCTTATATACACATATACTGGTATTTGAAGTCTGGCATACAAAACAATGTTACCAAACTTTATGACCTCTTGAAAAACACATTACCACTAAAAATATGGAGATTCTCATATATACATATGAAATCAAACCAGAACTCATCCTACCTGTGGCTTCCATGGCTTTGGCAATCTGCCGAAGAGAGAACCCCATTTCCAGCAGCGGCACTGCAATTGCTGGAGGAGGAGGGGAAGTTGAAAGTCTACTGCTTGGGTCTGACAAGGCTGAGACAAAAGAAACAAAAGTAAGATATCTGCACTCACCAGGGGAACAAAGTGTACTTATATCAAGCCTAAGGTCTAGACTTTCTAAATGGAAGGACATTTTTATTCAGTTTAGAATTCACTAAATGTAATTAAATTTGTTACAGTGTAGTTTTACAAGGTTTCCATAAATATAAACCTGTTAATAAAAAACTTTTTTAGCTCTCTTATGATTCTAAAATAATTTTCCACTTACAAAGAATTTCAAACTTACAAGTATTTGCAAGGGTAGCACAAAGACCACGTTTCCTCCCAATCATGAGAAGAAATAGCAGACATGGTATTCTATCTCCTCCAAGGACATAACCAGGTAGCCTCCTGGTTATTCTATCTCCTCCAAACAAGGACATTCACCTGCATAACCACAATATACCCATCACAGTCAGGGACTTAATGTTTAATCCAAGTCCGACTACAGTTCCACCAAATGTTTCAATATTCTTCAGAGCAAAGGATCCCACCTAAAATTATTTGTTTCTAGTTGGCATGTTTCTTTCATCTCTTTTGATCACTTTGACAAACACAGAAGGAATAAATAATTCACCTGTAAACATAAATGACTGCTAAAACTCGTGACTAAAACATTAACAAACAATTTAATATTTGCATACTGTCAAAGTGGCTTGCACAAATTAATTCTGAGAGAGAAAGGGAAGTAATTTATAGTGGTGAAAACTTGATAGACTACAGTCTCTGATAAAAAGGAGTTAAATTAGAAATCAGTAACAGAAAGGTAACTGGAAACCTTCATTATGTGGAAACTAAATTAATACATTTCTTAATAATTCATATGTCAAACAAGGTATCAAAAGCAAATTATAAAGTTGAATTCATTATGGAATGAAACTTCAATTATTATGGACTAAATCTTAGAGCATTTAAAAATACATAGGATGCAGCTAGAGTAGAGCTTTCAGGGAAATGTATATTACATACACTTTTTTTCCTTTTAAAATCTTTATGTTCCTTTATTGGAGCAAGATTCCTGACTGGTACAGTGATGCATATACTAAATAAAAAGACCTGTGCAGAGAAATTACATACTACCCATCTAAAGCAAGTTTTGTTACACTTTGCCTGTTGATAGAATAGTTCCATTTAAAAACTTTTATACATCAAAGGCTTTGAATTATACCAGACTGGGTGTTGATTTATCTCTGAAAACAAAAGTGGCACTGATTTAGCTATTATATGTTGTTGTTGTTGTTATGTGCCATTGAGCTGCTTGCAATTCATAGTGACCCTATGTACAAGAGCCCTAAACTGCTCTGTCCTGTGCCAATTGCATTGTCTCCGATACACCCATCCCAATTACCTGAGTCACTGAATCAATCCACCTCATAGAGGGCCATCCCCTCCTGCGCTGTTTGTCCACCCTACCAAGCATGATGTCCCTCTCCAAGGACCAGACCCTCCTTACAACATGTCCAAAGTATGTTAGACAAAGCCTCATAATCATTGCCTCCATGGAGCCACCCAGTTTAACCCTCTCCAGAGTGAATCTGTTTGTTTTCCTAGCAGTCCATGGTACCCTCAATACTCTTCTCCAGCACCATAGTTCAAAGGCATCAATTCTCCTTCTATCCTCCCTAGTCACTGTCCAAATCTCTGATGCATAACAAGTGAATGCAAAAACCATGGCCTGTATCAGATGTACCTTAGTCTCCAGAGAGACACCACTGCTTTTCAGAACTTTGGAAAGGTCCCTAACAGCAGACTTTCCCATGGCAATACGTATTTTAATTTCCTGGCTACTGGTGCCAAGAGTGTTGACTGTGGAGCCAAGCAAACTAAAGCTGTGAACAATCTCAAACTCTTCACCATCCATCCTGATGCTGCCAATTGGTTCAGTGGTGAGAATATTTGTTCTTGACATTGAGCCTTAATCCATATT